CCCATGGTGTAAGAATAGACAGGTGGGCCGAAGGCCTACCTCAACGCATTGTAAAAAAAGTTCAAATTTTGTCGCAGTACCGATACTAGCCACCAGAGGGATCCGTGTCGTGCAGGCCATTGATAGTATGAAAATTTTTTTTTTTTTTTTTTTTTTTTTTTTTATATAGTCATACTGACCATTATAAAAACTGCCTCTACTACTCGAAACCACCTAGCGGATTTTAGATGTACTGCGACACAAATTGGGCTCGATAGAGGCGGGCCTTCGGCCCACCTGTCTATTCTTACACCATGCTCTCACGTATACAACATTACAGATAAGTACCTATGTGTGTTGTGTACTATATGACAGATGATATTTAATAACCCATTATTACAAATTTCGGGCGATTTGAAGTGCCTAGCAAAATTATTTATCCGTTTTATTGACCCGGTTTGGCTAAATAACATTTTTTTTCCGCCTTCGATTTCTCAACTAATTACTTTAAATAAAATAATATCTTTTCTCATACAAGACAACGCTTACTGTAAGATTCATGGGGGTACGGGTTCGCCAACTTTGCTCACCTACAGCGCTGCAGTCGTTTTTTTTTATCCCCTCCAACCTGATGCACGGAGCGAATACCGCGATCGTCCTGCTTGCTCTTAGGCGCTCTCTTACCACCACAGCTGAGGCGAGGGAAAAAGCCGGAAAAGGAGTCGAGAAGAGAAGGGCAAGCCCGACGGCCTGTACGTGCTCTCTGGCCAAGAGTGCGTGCTCAAGAAAAGCCATGTATAATTATTAACATTAATCCAAGTAACATTTACATTAAGTTTCTCTTTATTAAGTTATGTACAATTAGCTCAATGTTGTAGCATCAAAGTGATATTAAACATACTTGTGCGTACACACCCTTATTACTCGAATCCTCGCCTACGTGCTCGCGCGAAACTCTCAAATTATTGAGTCTCAACCCAAGACTCCCAAATATACACAAACATGTACTTATAGGCAGTAAAGTCGCGATTTCTGCGAAGGCAAAGTTGCAATACAAACCTGTACACACGTCGTTACGAAATTATACTTTGAGCGGAACCGGTAAGAGGAAGAAGACACGGTTGCCTGACACATATACCTACCCGTAAATTAATACACACATCGTCGCGGACAAAAATGCTAATTCAATATGTTTTTATGCAAGTGGTAAACTAACGGCTCTGTAACCATTCGCTATGTGTCGCTATGTATAAGAATCTAAAACGACGCCATCTGCATGGAAAAAAGCACAATTTTTGTTTCAACTATGAAAAATTTTGAAAGTTTATAAAAGTTTGTTTCACGTTTAGAACGAATCCTCAACTACGGAAAACTCATATCATAGGTGCAAAAGATGCATAAAAATTAATGAAAAATAATGCTAAACTTTTTCAGCTTATGTAAGAGGTTATGTAATTTTGTGGTCAAGTACTACTGTTGTTTCCCATGCAGGTGGTGGTGCTGCTTAAAATTCCTGCGCTTGGCGAATAATAAATCATCAGCTCACATCCTTATACCCTATATTGCTGAGGCGTATTAATTATACAAATTTCACTCTACGCTATGTGCATCCATGAAGACCGACTTACAAGTCTCTTGTTGATAATGGATAATCCAATTCACAAACAATTTTTTCCCTGTCTTTTGATTACTCTACCAAGTGTGTTTGACCCATTCAAACAAACAAAAAAAATTGGACTTGCTCGACAAAAAAATATTAAGATACTCATCTACATCCATTTTTCACCTCACCCCTGACAACATACTTAAAATTGTTCATAGTCTGCTTCCACATAAACACATGCAATTGGCAAAAAAAAAAAAAAATCGTTGATAGCCAAAAAGAAGCATCAAACTCACCAAAAGCGGCAGATGATCAAACACGTAGCAGACAAACAGTATCGTGTAAATGGTGGGCCAGCCGCTAGCTTCGTCGGCCTCGAGGCGTCGCTTTTTCAAGCAAGCCCGGCTGTTGGTCGAGCCACTGGCACAGGAGTCGCTCGAAGGTTCCCAGTGTCCGTGATGATGATGCTGGCACTCGAACGCCCCCACTGAGGACGATGAGTTTTTCGAACTCGCCTCGGATAGATCGGAGACGCTCTTCAACAGTTCGGCTTTTGGCGAGGACCGGCAGGTACCTCGGAACAGTGCTGTTAGCAAGCTGTGGGCGATACATGGCGATTTTTTGGTTTTTGTTTGAAAAAAACTGATTTTTATTTTTTTCTTTCAACATTTTATGGAAGAATTGGCATGGTGTTATTGTCACTCTTAATCATGTAATGATAAGACTTAACAAAAGTGCTTTTCCGACTACAGCAAAAAATGTTTCGAGACATGAATCTGTTTGGGATGAAAAATTAAGTTTGGATTCAATGTAAGAATATTCCGAGCGGTAGGTACTGTGTGGGTTGGACTTAAAAGTGTTTCGAAAATTTTTTTAAAAAACACTGTATTAAAATGGTTATCTGGTATTAGTTTTATCATTTGAATATTTTTACTGATATGAAAATTAATTGTTACCGTAAGTGCAATTCTTTTCAAGTAAATGATAAAAATTACGTTGCCAAATGTAAGTGGTAGTAAGAAATTTTTAATGTTGATTTCTGAAAATGTCATTTTACGCCTCAAAATGTAATGTGTGAATCTCCATATTAAAAAAATTAAAATAAAAAATCACAAACTGAATGCACGTTCAAACTTTAATTTTGTACACAAAACAATTTTTTAGTTTTCAAAAGCCAAAAAGCATCCAATTAAAGCCATAAATAAAAATTATGATTAAAAGAATTCATGGCAAGAATTCAGCATCGTCATTCGTGTTATAATCACACGTAAGGCGTTAGACTCCGGAAAATAAAAAATAACACACTATTAAGGCAAAGTCGCAATTTTCATTGCACAAACTAGATCCCTTTTTTTCTCAAGAAGAACTGCAAACAATGATACCTAGTTAACGTCTTAATTCCAACCTTTTTCAATTTATCATGATTAAAAACGCGTCGCGTCAATAATTATTTATTTAGCCTATACCTTATTTTATACATTTGCGCGATTGCAAAGTTTAATACACGAAAGACCAAAAGTACCCGAAATCACAGCTGGTAAAAAATATATTATTATGGTTTCATCGACGGAAAGATGTGAAAATCAAATGGTCATCAACGCACCGAAAAATCCACGGATTTTATCGGTCTTTCAGGGTCAGTATGTATAACTTTGGAGAACAGTATCGCCTACCTCAAGAGTGTCGTGAGAACGAGCAGGCTCCTGAGCCCGTTGAAGTAGAGCCCGTACTTTGGCGATATGTCGTGGGCGAGGAAGACGCAGCTGCCGGTCTCGGAGGTCAGTACTCCGGTGACGCCGACGCAGGCGCTCATGACCGCCAGACTGGCCAGGTGGTACTTTATGTGGTGCTTCTTGACGTTCGGGCCTTCATCCCGGACGGTCAGGGCGGCGAATACGGCGATGCTCGTGAGACTCGTCTCCTGCAGGATGCCCGAGGAGTTCAGGAGCCAGACGAGCACCGAGCAGAACTCTACGGAATTTTTCGTTCGGCTAGTGTCGTGAGCTTACATCTCACGTGCGTATCTTACTCTAACAAGGAAATCTTAGCCTGTCCGTGGTTCATTGCCCAAGTATTGTTGTTTGCCACCGTTGCATTTCAATAAGTAGGAGGTTAATAATTAATTTTTTTAATCTTTCCAACACTTTTGAAGACCTTTATCGACTTTTCACGTCATCCGGAGGGACTTTGTCGTACTGTTGACGACTATCAAAGACATAAAAATGACTTGCTGTAACTTTACTTTGTACGCAAAAGTGATCCAAAATTATTTCACGTCTTCCAATGGCTTATTAATGTTGCAGTCTTTAAAGGTGCTGTTGAAACTTAAACAAAGTCTTTTCAAGCCATACCAAGTAATTCAAAGCCATTGAGTGACGTTGAAAGCCTTAAGTATTGTTGCGTTTCAGGGTTCGTTAAATAAATCACTTTGAAGGTCGTGTTAGGTTTTTAAAACTTTTAAAGTCAGAGAAAGACTTGAAGGTAACTCCTGATTGATTAAACTAGTACACTCAAGTCATGAAAATTTATTTGAAGTTGTTTACTAAAGACTTCAAAGTTATTAAACTTGTTCAAAAGTCTTATAAAATATTATAAGGCCTTTAAATGTCATATTTCAAGTCATTCCACGTCATGAAATTCATGTCAAAGACTTTTGAGGGTCTCAAAATAACGAAGACTTTGAAGTAAGTGGCCACTGATTATTGAGAATTTTATGGTATTTTCTGACTATAATCATGAGAAACTTTACAATGTGCCGTTTAGACGTAAGAAATTCATTCCGTGCCTACTACACGAGAGCATTGCTATCTCGAATTTAATTTATTTTGCCAACCAGAAAATATGCTTTACAAAATGGTTGTAGCCTCAATTATAAATGCTATGTACTGGTACACATATGATGCAGTACCCAAGAATTTAATGTAATCTATGATATGCGAATGTTGCGAGACAAACACCCGAGGAATCATGTCAATGTCGTGAGATGCAAAATCATCCATTTACACGTAACGTAGACCGATTGAACGGCAATCGATATAAGCATTTTTTTGTTTTTTAATTGCATGTACCTAAAAGTCATAAGATCATCGCGTATTTAAATACTGTTATTCAAGACTATTTTATTAGTCGTCAAAAATGATGAGTAATCTTTATTAACCACAGCTAAGAAGTCTTGAAGTGGCCAGTGCTGAGACTCCCTTGGAATATTTGCATTTGCACATAATTTTTTTTTCCTCCAAATTTCATGTGATTAGTTAACTTTTGAAATAAAATAGACGGAGATCAACCTTCGAAATGCCGGGTGGGCTGAACGAGCGTGAACACCGCGAAGAGCAGTAAACCAAGCTGGTGCAGGAGACTTTGAGCCAGTATGGCGATGGTGAATATATCGATGCGCCTCTTCGTGGCCGATGGCTGGTTTTGATATATCAGCAGACACCACGACAGCAGCAGGATGCAGATCGGCGAGCCGACGCACGTCGCCAGCCACTCGCTCACCTCGCTCCGCATTATTTCTGGAACAAAAACATCGATTTTTTCGTTGATTTCGTTGATCGATTGGTGATTCAGGGAAGAGGGTTTGTCAAATTACGGTATTCTTGGGTTTGAACGTGTTGGTAACGGTAAGTGGGTCACTCTAGCACTTTGCAATCGAAGGGTTCAAGATTTTTGTGGCTTCGGTTGGGAGAGGTTTTTGTTCCAAGGGAAACAAGTTTTCAGCCCTTTGAGCTTCGAAGAAAAAAATAATTGTATTTGTACAAGTGTGTTTCAAAAATCCATTGAGATCTAATTTCCAAACGCAACCTTATTTTCCAATAAGTCAAAAAAACGCTTTTGATGGCAAAAATATTCATATGTAGTTTAAAAATAGGTTTTTTGTCCATAATCGTAAGATTTATCAGTATTGTCTAAACAAAAAAAAATGTGAATCATAAAAATTGCAATTATTCATATAATACAACTTTCACTCAATACATTGCACACTTTTCTTTTAGAATTTAAAATAGATCCCCCAAACGATTAATAATTTTTTTTTTTAATTGGTTTTTGCCTATGACAAAGAAAATTCGTAGATCAATATACTAAAAAAAAAAAAAAAAAAAATTGAAAAAATACATCTTTTTTACATGTATAGCCACATTCAAGCGCTTCAATTGAGATAAGGGGTTTTAAAATATATTATGTAAAAAAAAAGAAAAAAATAGTAGGCATTTCACTTTCTAAAAAATTTTTCTCTGCAAGACAGAAAAAATTATTATTGAATAGAATAAAATATTGCATTGATTCAAAAACAATTTATCCGTATTTTCTTATATGAAAAAGAATGTCCTTATTCAATGATTTATTTACTTATTTGCTGTACAATTATAACCAAGATACCCCTATATTTAATCTAGAATTTCTTAGAAATTCTTTACTCGCGTTAATTTTACGAGCACTGATGTATCTCGAGTGATTTAATTATTGACTCATTACACTCATCAGTGCCTGCATGAACAGTTTCTCGTTTAATTTGCAACACACAATACGCATGATTAAAGCGTTAAGGTGAAGCACACGCAACTACTAAAACTACAGCGATAGTTGATTAGTCAATGAAATCACGAGAAAAAAATCTTTCACATGAGAATCGTAACGGAGACCAAATGAGATCACGGAAATGTGCGCCTACAGTTGTTACGTTATTTATCGTTTCAAAGGACCGCAACGAGGATGCGTAATGCAACAAAAGAATCGGTATGCCGGCAGATTGCTGTTTTTAACGATGCGATTAAAGTGATTTTTCTCCTATCGGTTTGCGGAAACTTTGCATTGTGTGTAATGTGTTATAAAAAAAATCGAAAAAAAATGTTTTTAACAGTATGACTTATAGTTTTTCAAGTGAGTTGTACAATCCACTGCCACAATGCCTTTGTACGTGAGCGTAAAATATTATCTCTCATGATCGGACACTGTTGCGGAGCTACACACCCAAAGGAGCTGTCTCGAGATTACAAAGTGATACGATGCCGATATCATTGTTCTTATGTAACGCGCAAGCGGAACTACTGATGCGGTGTGACCCTCAAACGGATATTTTGTATACAATGAGAAAATGGATTATCCTCGCACGTACCTTTGTAGATGAAAAAAATTTCCAAACCTTTTGTCCTCACAGATATGGGAATATACTTATACGCCTTCGACTGTGATCCATTGATTTTTCAAGTGTGACCACCACTTTGATAAACACATTGTATATTCGTTGATACGAAGAGTGTACAACCATATTTTTTTTTAATTTAAAGATAACTATACAGTTGCATATGGATCTACGAGAAAATTGAGTTTTTACACACATTTGGAAAAGTTTGAATTGATATTGTGCTAAACATCATTTGAAAGAAAAAAATTAATTATTTCTTTCCCAAGTATAATATTAGACCCACTTTACAGGTTTAGATTTATCGTAGATTTCAGTGAAGTACAAATTTTTTTGTAATACACGTTTCAGTATAAAGTAAAATAGTGATCTACCTATGGCTCAAAAAAAATTCGAATACACTTTATACATAACATAAATATGCATCTACACACATATAGCACGTATTCTTCATAAAAGTTTCATATTATGTACTCGGCTGCTTTTTGCACATATATATTTACTTGGTAATAAATTTGGCAATCAAATAGAAAAAAATGTATCATCATTCAGGTTATTGAAACGTACCTATGTTATACTTGACAGATCAAGTGCGTTTCGTGCACTCATTAAAAATATTGTTTTTAATAGTGAGCTTATTAATAAGAAGTTTTTTAATTTAAAAATGGTATTAGCTGTTTGATTATTAAATTTTTAGCATGATTTTATCTTGCTAAAAAAACTGTGTAACGTACTTAATCTGTACATTATAACGTCATTACCATCATTTTTATCTCAAGATTATTTAATGAAATTGTAATTTCAATTACATTTTGTAAATACCAAGAACGATTTTAATAATTATTCATAAATATTTTATTTTATCAACCCGCAAATTCCATTTAAATCATAACCACGTTAAAACTTTAAACAATAACTGTTATAAGAGTGTCAAAAAACTGTGTAAATTTTTTGATTGTTTTGAATCGCAAGTTTTTTTTTTTTTTTTTTATTGACAAAATTTCAATTCTTATTTGTGGTAAAAAAAATTAAAAAAGTTACACAGTTGCCTGACATTTTGAAAAGTTATTTTTCAAATTTTTACTGTTTTTTCTGCATTCTAAGGAAATAATTGACTCTCCTTCAATCATGTCTTTATAAATGAAGTGATTGATCTTAGCTCAGCTTGAATTTTAATATCTTCTATGCTTTCAATGTAAAGAAATATTGAGTTTATGTTGGAAATGATTTTAGATCATACAATTTAGTCACAAAATATAAATGATTATGTTTCAAACACAATACCACATAGTATGCCACATTGTTATGACAAACAGATGAACATGAACCGGTTTCACGATGTAGTGTATAAAAATTGTTTAACATTTTCATGAAAAGTTGTATGAGTTACCACATGAACTTGGTATCAGGTAAAATAATAAGTATATTTTCTCCCAAATGATTCGAGGTTTTTCAAAGAAAGTCCATCCAGCACTGTGAATTCTAATCATTGCAAAAGAAAAAAAATAAGTAATGTAAGAACTTCCTACCACGCATTAATAAAACTACCATAAAATTCGCCAGTTCCGTTACTCGGGGCACCACACCTGTATGTCTCAAACAACTAGATCCTTCCTATACAATCCATCTACATTCGTGTTTGAATACCGAAAAAAAGTTTGGTCGAAATCTCAATATATACACATACACATACCGTGCAAAAACGGTAGAACGCACAATGCAAGGAATATGACGAGAAGGTGATCGTAAACCTTTGGCTACGGTGTTTACTCCGGAATTAAAAAATCGCTTGCGAAAGGAGACCAATTGTGCGTACACACCCATGCAAGCACGTACCGTTTATTGTAGAATACTCGTAACGATGCAACCGTCAAAATCACTTTTTAAGACCTAGTGCTTGGCTTTCCCTAGATGCAAGGAAAAAAATACACAAATTGGTAAATAGCTCAGAAATACAGTACACGAGCTCTCCAGACTTTTTTATGTTGATACCTAACGATGTTGTATGTTGGATTTCTTTGACTGCGTTTTAGCTTTGGTGACTTAGATCTTTGATCACTTAAGGCAGACGAAGTAAATCGAATGACGATTATTTCGCCAAAGCTCTTCAATTCTCTTAAAAATACTCAAAATAAATAGTTCGCTTGTATAAATAGTAAGGTATTGGTAAGGAGTTAAACATGTAATTTGCACCACTGATTCGTATCGTTCGAATTTTATTGTATAAAATTAATGGTTTTAATTTATTAACGTGTAAAACATTTGCGTAATCTCAGGTTGTAATGCATCATATTAGATTTCTTATATTAGTATTGCAGTGTGATCAGAAATGGCTATTTATCGATAAAATGACCATTTTTTACTTTCACTGACGATTTAATTTTTACAAGACTATGCAGAAAAGTAACAAGTGATGAACTGTAAACAGCACTGAGCTATGTTACACGATAACTAAAATGATTAAAATCTTTTTTTAATAATATCACGCAGCCCCGCTCCCGCATTTGAAACCAATACTAATGTGACATGCGACACTCGTGTGTCGCGTCATTATGAACAGCTCCTAAATGTTTGCGGTAGTCATGTTGGTAGCAACGTTGAGGTATGAAAAAATACACCAACGCTAATAGTAATGTCAAGCTTTACACCACCAGAAAATATATTTACAAAGTAGTATACAATACGTTGAACCGATTACACAGTAAAAATAAGTGGATATTTTTTTTTCAAGTTTAAACTTCGAATTGAATTCAATATAGAACTCTTTGGTTAACAATTTGATGAAAAAAGAATCATTTTTTCCAAGAACAATGTATCATCAATGACGAACTCAAGATGGGTGAGAATGAGTTATATCAATTACGGATTAGGTGTTATATAAAGATATTTTAGAAATTTTGAACTTTGGTAAGTTAGCCGTTTAATCGTACTCGGAAACTAATGATAATGTTTTTTTCAATTCAATAACTGAAGAGTTCTAACTTGCGTTCAATTCGAAAATGTGAATTTATAAAAGAGAGTCTGTAACGGATCATGTATAGCAACACAGCAAAGTAAATATGCGGGGGAGGGGGCTAGTGGTGGGAGGGGTGTTTAATTGAACGAAGTGACCACGCGCTGATCAAACCGACAATCTCTCGTTCGAGGTCGGCAAGTCAAGCCGCTCCCGAGAGCGCAAGAAGGTACAGGAGCCGTTCGATTGAAGTAAGCGTGTTTGTTTTTTTCTTATTTGTAAATTTAATGAGAAGTAGGAGATAGATTCTCATGCGGTGTGTGCCCTCGTAGCGAATCGTCAGTTGTAACCTTGTGCACCCTAAAAGGCTTTGTTACGAGATCCGCGGCAGGCTCGGCAACTGAAGTTCTAATC